GCGACCATTGCACCCTCCTTGAGCATTTCGGTGTAATGGAAAACTATTCTTACACAACTGTCATTCATTTCGCATCTATAGTTTTCCTTTTACCTTTTACATGTGCATCTGTTCAAATATATGATTTACCCATATGTTGTGTAGGCGGCAATGACAACACTGGCGATGAGGATGCCAAAGGCCACTCAAAGAACAAGGCTAAGAACAAAAGGCGACGCCCAGGGTATGCCATTAATGTATCCTGCAGCTGCATTCAAGTTCTTAATCTATTCTAGAGGCTAAACTATCATGCAGCGAAGCTGATGTGCCATGCAACTTTAGCACACATATAGAATGGGAAAATTGTGATGTATTGTGGTACTGCTAAAGAGAGGTTGGAAATCAAGGCAAATATTCGATGGGGAAAAAAGATGACCTGCCCCATTAGAGCACATGATAGGCATTCTGCAACGTTAACACTTTGATAGGTTATGTCTTACCCTTTTAGTCATATGCCAAATGCTGGATGCTTATGCATGAAATTTACTTCCTTATAAAGTCTCGGTTCCTGGTGGTGCGTTCTGCACCACCATCCCATCACATGAAACCGGCGCTGACAGGCGACACTGCCCTGACGTGCATATTGGCTTCTTAGTTAAGAATAAGCAGAAAACTGGATATTCAAAGATCATAAGAAAAACCATGCATCTCTTCTGAAACCATCCACCTCTTCCGGGTCTTTCTGTGCTATTCCATTTCCATTTCTGATATTGGATCAAATAAATTTTTTACATAGCCAGCCTATATTCTCTTGCAACATGTTAAAAAGAGTATTGATTTAGACCATCACTACTCAACACTAAGAGCATGTTTAGTTATTCCTCTTAGAAACACTAGGGGCGGAGCTTGGTTAAGGCCAAAGTGGGCCATGGCCTCCCCTGCCAATGCAATTTTCCACTAGTTAAACAGTGAAGTTGGTGCTGTTCATTGTTGTTTAATTCAGAATTCTATGAACTGCCCCCATCTATTTCTATGGTCAAGCTCCGCCACTGCAACACTGGAAGTTTCCTGTGACGTTTCTGTTGAAAGTTGCATTGGTACCCGCAACGCTTTAGAAGATGTTGTTTAGTGTTTTCTCGTTTACTTTTTATTTCCTAGGAGGGCCCTGTTGACTATATTGTTTGGTGTTCTTACATGATGTGTTTGACTGCAGGAACGATCGCCACAAAAGTGACTGCATATGTGCTGTTTGTCAAGTTACAAGGCGTAAGAAAGAAAGGGATGAAATATTGGCTATTATAGATAATGAAACTGCTGCAATGGATAGTAACACTTCTGAGCAGCAGGACATGGAGGTTAGCTTGCACATCTACATCCTTTTATTTCTTTTGTTATGCTTTTTGGTCAAGGGTCTTCCCAAATGTGCGTTAGTTTTATTTCTCCATGTTTCTGTTGCCATTTTGGTGTTCTGATAGACTCATATAACACTGTTTTCAATTGAACAACCATACCTCTGTTACCTGCAACTCTTTGTCGCCAACATCAAAGTTGTATACTCATTTTATAGTGTGTTCAATGGAATAAGCATGCCTTAAAGCTGTATACTCATATTACAGTGTGTTCAATCGAATAAGCATGCCTCTGCTGTCTGCAATTTTCTGTTTTTGAAAAACTTGACCAACCTAGGAGGCTAGGTGGCTTCTTAATTAAGAAGAAATAGCACCCAAATTTGCCAATTTTCTGTTTCTGCTTTCTGAACATCAAAGTAATGCTTACATATCAAGATGATGCTTGGTATGTATTACATCTGCTTGACTTGTTCTAAGTATCATTTTTGGCTTTTGTAGTTGATTTTCTCACTGTACACTTAGTCATGGCACAATTGATGTTTTTTACTTTTTTACTCTCTGTACTACATATTGTGATGTTCTTGTTCTCAGAGTGTAAAGGACTAGAGGCAGTGTTTGAAAGGTGACTAGGCGACCAGGCGAGTGCTGGGTCCTCCTGGACGCCCAGGCGGCGCCTAGGCGACAAGGCGCCACTGTTTGCCAAGGCGAGCTGGGTACGCCTGGACGCCTAGGCGCCGCCTTCGAAACACTGACTAGAGGTGTTTTCAAGCATGCAGGCTATCTTCATCTTGAGCTAATATGTGCTTTGCATGTCAGGGAAACTCTGGTGCTAATAATCTTGGTAATCATGACACTTGCTCTAGCCAGGAGCAACCGTCACAAACTTATGTGTACAAAGAGACACCAGAAGCAAACGATTCTGGGATTCGGATGGAAGATGTTGGAAAGTTCTCCATTAATCAGCCATCTAGTTTGCCGCTTCCTGACTATGAAGACGAGGGTTCCAGACAATACTTGGAGGAAAAAGGACAGGCGGAGTATATATATATGAACAGTAACGAAGAGCACACCCCCACTCAGCCTAATGAGTACTCTGATGTTGAGCATCACCAGCGAAAGGTAACTGTAGCCAGACTTCCAGGACATCCTCAGCATTTTGTTTCCATGTATATCTTGTCATTATTATTTGATAGTATGCTAGGATTAGTAGAGGCTAAAAAAGTTCTCTATAAGCTATATTGCTTAGTGGTTGGGATCAGTTGATTAACAGTTTTGACTTCATTCCTCATCTTGTCCTATGTCTACTCGAGTGTCACCAGGGCAATTTGGTTTTGGTCCCACTCACAAGTCCTGTCGGGTACACCTGTTAGTGGCATACTGTCTCTGTGCTGTTTCTCTTTGTTATGACCCCCAAATCTTAAGTAGTACCAGAGGCAATCAGTATAGTGGGCACAAAGTCATTGTTGCATGCCTATGAATCTACGGAAAAGGTTAAGCTCACTTTTGTGTCATGTCATCACAGGGACAGACAGAGACCAGCCAAGAGGTTGAAATGGAGGAGGATTATCCTATGCAGCAGGAGAACCCTTCATTCCTTCAACTCTGTGCGAGCCTCATCCCCAGCAACGGGAGCACCACTTTCAGGGTGCGACATTCCCTGTTCCGTCCGCGACGCCGAGCTCCGGTGAAGGCGAGCCCTCTGCATGTAGCCATGGCGGCGATAATGAAGCGTTAGGAATTTCTCAGGCTTGGTTTCGTGTGAAGAGAAGCTCCAGGCAGCGGTGCTCTGACTTTGGCAAAGCTGTACCCTGAAGACATGGAAGCAGGTTGGAATGTTGAGGCCGATTAGTCTATACATACATGTGGGTGCGAGATTAGTTGAGGAATGCCCATCTCTGTAGTCTGCATATGGGATTCAGAATTCTGTTTGATTTTTCTATGAGGCTAATTGTGGTAGCCACATGTTGGTCCATTGCTTGCCGCCCTGGAAAAGGGCTGGCCTGATGAAACACCCTCCTATTATAATTTGATGATCTAGGGTTTGTTTATTGCCTCGGCAAATTCTTCTCCCCAACTGCTCACCTGACCAGAGAAAAAAGAGATGCTCTTTGCTCAAACAGAAGTTCAACTGGGATACATACATGATTGACAATCCAGACTTGAATATTTGCTGTGAATATTATAACACATTCTGGAATCAGTCGGGTCCTAAACCTGTCACCTACTCCTGTGAATGTGAGGTGCCTTGAGACTAGCACTGCATTATATGATAAGAATGGCGCATGGGCATGTGGCCATGGCTTCTCTCTGATTCAGAGGTGATCACTGATACACAAAAGCCTCTGCTCATCGCTTTACGCTTGTCGTTTGATATGATACACCTTTATGTTAAGGACCTAACCTAACCATGAACAGTGATGCTTCTGCTGTTTTGGTTGGCAGCGCACAGTGAAGAGGAAATCTGTGCCATCCCCATTCTTGAAGGATGTTTAAGCATCCCGGGTAATCTTTGCTGAATGACTTTTTTTTGCAGTAATGACTTTTGGCAGTACAGGTTGTTCCCTTCTTGAGTAAGTGAGCTGTAAACCTAACCAACCTCGAGTGTACTGCAGGCGAGTAGGTGGAGTACGTATGTTCCAAACCTTTCCATCCCAACTGCCAATGCAGACCCTTGTTGGGAATGAATGGTTGGTTGCTCGTGGAATGAAACAAAGAGGATGCATGTGTGTACGTGTGTGTGTCTGACAAATCCTTGCTCGTGGAATGAAACAAAGAGGATGCATGTGTGTACGTGTGTGTGTCTGACAAATCCTTGCTCTAGTAGGTTTCTTTGGTCGGCTGATGACACGAGAAAGAATCGAAAAGAGTACAATTGCAGAATGGGGAAATGAAATCCGTGTTGATCCAGAAACTCGCTGGCTGGCTGGCTGGCTGGCAAGTGGTCTGAAGAGAGGAGAAGAGAAGAGAGCAGAGGAGGCAGACAAAAATTGAGAGCATCAGCAGGGTACTCGTTTGAGAGCATTTAGATTGTAAATTTTTTGCAATCTGAATCAGAAGACGCTTTCATTTGATAAACTTTGTCCGATCATGGACTAACTAGGCTCAAAAGATTCGTCTCGTGATTTACAACCAAACTGTGCAATTAGTTACTTTTTTTACCTACATTTAATGCTCCATACATACGTCTAAAAATTAATGTGATGGAGAAAGAGTGAAAAAACTTGGAACTTTGAGCCAATCTAAACAAGGCCCTCCATTGACACTTGAATTTGAACGGACCAAGTCAAGTCTACACCTAACCAACCCCAAAACCTGCAACCTCGCCGGCCTCCCTCCCTCCCTCATCATGAACTCATCATCTCTAGAGCCTGCAGCAGAAGTTTCTTTATATCTTTAATTAAAGAAAGAAAAGGAAAAAAAAAAATGTTAGGAAAATTCCACGGAAACGCGTTTCTTTGCAGCAATGCGCCCACCTACTAGAAAGAAACAAAAAGCGATATCCAAGCAAAAGCCAGCGCACTCACTCTCCCTCCTCTCCCGTCCCCTCGATTCCCGATACCCCGATTCCTTCCTCCTCGCTCGCGTGCCGACGTGCCGTCGCCGTCCACCGCGGCAGGGCAAGCAACGGCTGCCTCGCGCGCTCATGTCGTCTTCTCCCTCCGGGTGCCGCCAATGTCTAGCCATGCCCACGCCGGCCACCGCCGTCGTCTTTTCCTCCTGAGGAGAAAGAGCACCAGCACTAGGCTTCTTTACCTCCTCGTCCTTCTCGTCGCCGTCGTCCTGATCGCCGACGTGTGCACGGCGTCGCGGCAGTTCTCGACGGTCGCAATCTCCCACGCGCCCAACGCTACGCTCGTCTGCGCGCTCGTCACCAGCAGCGCCGCCGGCGATGACGCGGGAGGAGCGGGGTCGTCACCAGGCTCCAAGCTGCACTGCACCTCGCACCCCGATGGCCAGCAGTTCGTGTACCCGTCCGCGGACATCCCCTACAACGCCATCGCGGCCGGGACCGACTTCCTGTGCGGCCTCATGGCGCCGCTGGGCGGCCACGCCGCCATGCGCTGGTGGTCCTTCTCCGAGGAGTTCGCCGCCAACCGCTCCCGCCCCGTCGGCCGCCGCCTCTACTGGGGCCCCTCGCTGCGCTCGCTCAACGCCGGGGGATCCCACGTCTGCGGCCTCTCCGACGACCACGACCCCACATGCTGGGAGTGGCCGCACCTCGACCTCCCGAAAGGCCTCGACTTCTCCCGCATCGCGCTGGGCCACGACTTCCTCTGCGGCATCGACAAGCGCGACAATACCAGCATGAGCTGCTTCGGCGGCATGACGGCGCCGTCGCTCACCCCCACGCCCGCGGCCTTCAATACCCTCGCCGCCGGCCACCGCCACGCGTGCGCCGTCGACGCCGAGGGCGGCTTCGGCTGCTGGGGCGACGGCGACGTCCCGGACGTGCCGGCGCACGAGCTGCCGGGCGACATGCTCTCCATGGCGCTCGGCAACGACACCACCTGCATCCTCTCCGGCAGCGGCCGGGTCCAGTGCTGGGGCACCGTCCAGGTGCCGGACCAGTACAGGAACACGGATTTCCTGGCCATCGAGGCCGACGGCAACGCGGTGTGCGGCATCCTCAAGAGCAACTACTCCGTCGCGTGCTGGGGGAGGAGCGACCGGTTCGGCACCGGCGGCAGCCTGGTCTACAACAGCACCATGCCCGGCGCCTGCGCGCGCAAGAAGAGCTGCCCCTGCGACATCATCTCCGGCTCCGGCGCGCTCTGCGGCTCCGGCGGTGCCGAGGACGGCGAGGAGCTCGCCGTCTGCCAGGCCTGCCCGTTGCGGCTGAACGCTTCCAGGATCCTCATTGCCAACGGGAGGGATGTATCGGCAGCCGGAGACGACAGCGGGAAGAAGAAGGCCAAGACCCTGATCTTCGCGCTCAGCGTGGGCGGCGTCGGCGCCGCGGTGCTCGCGGCTGCTGCGGTGGCGCTCTACCTCGTGGCGTACAGGAAGCGGGACAACAACAAGAAGACGCTGACGCTGCGCCTCGGGGAGTCGTCGTCGCGGCGGCTGTGCCGCGACTTGGAGGCCATGGTCATGCCGGCGCCGCAGGTCTCGCCGCTCCGGCCGGCGCGGCCGCTCGGGTGCGAGGAGTTCACGCTCCGGGACCTGTCGCGCATCACCGACGGCTTCTCGGAGGAGAAGAAGATCGGGAGCGGCAGCTTCGGGTCTGTGTACCGCGCCAAGCTCCCCGACGGGCGCGAGGTGGCCATCAAGCGTGCGGAGCGCTGCGGCAGCGGCGGCCGCCGCCGGCGTCGCTTCGACGCGGAGCGCGCGTTCCGCGCGGAGCTGCGGCTGCTGTCGCGCGTGAACCACCGGAACCTGGTGCAGCTGCTGGGCTTCTGCGAGGAGCGCGGCGAGCGCATCCTGGTGCTCGAGTTCATGCCCCACGGCGCGCTCCACGACCACCTCCACGGCAGCAGCAGCAGCAGGAGCGGGTACTCGCCGCTGTTCGCGTCGTGGGAGGCGCGGCTCCGGGTGGCGCTGGACGCGGCGCGCGGCGTGGAGTACCTGCATTGCTATGCCGTGCCGGCCATCATCCACCGCGACGTGAAGCCGTCCAACATCCTGCTGGACGGCGAGTGGACGGCCAAGGTGTCGGACTTCGGGCTGTCGCTGGCCAGCGGCAGCACGGCGGCGGCCGCCGCCGCGTCGTCGTCCGCGACGGTCGGCACGGTGGGTTACATCGACCCGGAGTACTACCGGCTGCAGGAGCTGACGGAGCGGAGCGACGTGTACAGCTTCGGCGTGGTGCTGCTGGAGCTCGTCACCGGCCGCAAGGCCATCCACCGGACGAGCCAGGACGGCAGCGGGTCCCCCCGGAACGTGATCGAGTTCGCCGTGCCGGAGGTCGAGACGGGCAACATCACGAGGATCCTCGACGAGCGCGTGCCGCCGCCGCGCGGGCACGAGGTGGAGGCCGTGGCGCGCGTCGCCAAGATCGCCTCGGAGTGCGTCCGGCCACGGGGCCGCGCCAGGCCGATCATGTCCGAGGTGGTGGCGGAGCTGGAGTGGGCCGTCACTCTGTGCGAGGAGTCCGTCGTGGCCGGCGCCGCCGCGGCCGCCGGCGGGCAGAACAGCTTCCGGCACGGCGGCTCCGACCTGTCGCGGTCGCGGTCGCGCTCCGAGTCCGACGATCCGAGCCCGTTCCACACCCGCGAACTCGGCTTAGGCTTCGGCTTCGGCCTCGGCCTCGGCCTCGGCTCGAGCCGACCCATCACCCATGGCAGGTCTCACTCAACAATGTAAAATCATGTCTTTTTGTCTTTTTTTTTCCACGATTGGTATACATACATAGGCTGAATTAGTTGGTGTCCATAAATTTTTTAATTTTTAAAAGGAAAAAAAACAGAGAGGGAGAAAAGTTCTTCGGATGGATCGTTTCTTATATGAATTGTTCCTAATTTAAAGTTTTGAGTTGTATAGATGAGAAAAAATCTCAGTGAGTGTTTGACCAAATCTGACATGTAGTATGTAGAGGAGAAGGGATTGGGGATGTGGGGGAGGTGTAAGTAGGGGAGAAAGAAAGAAGCTAATTATATATATATATATATATATATATATATATATATATATATATATATATATATATATATATATATATATATATATATATATATATATATATATATATATATATATATATATATATATATATATATCTTTGGGGTTGGTAGAGGGTTTAGAGAAGAAGATACAGCTGTGACTTGTGAGGTGTGGAGATGTAACAACTGTACTTAACCAACTGGTGTTATACAATCACACATTTGGAATGGGTTCAATCATCAGACGTACAATCATTTGATTTGATTTATTCTCTGACCTTGTATGACAATACTTTGCTGTTCCTTTACATTAATTTATAGCAAATAGTTGTTGTTCTGCATGCTCCATATAAATTTGATCTTCTCTTGCAAAAAAGTGAGAGAGAATCTTTTAACTTAAATATTTCCTACCTTGAATCCTAAACGATTTTTGTGAGGAAACTTGTAACTAATTAATTCCACTGGTTTGAATAGGGTTGTCCAAGTGTGTTTTTTTTTTGGGTTTCCACCGTACGATATTTTTGCTTAGGTAGAAATTTGCTTACAAGAATTCCATGACTAATGAGAACATTTGCTTTTGAGTAGGGTGACACTAACACTGTTTTTTTGTCGATAATAATAAAATAGAAAGAGGGTGGAAAATAGGGACGGGAGAACGGCCCCATTTATTAGTGCTTGTTTGGAAAACATAGCAATTAAGCAATCTCCTTCAACCTTGTTTCATCAAAATCTCCTTCAACCTTGACGTATTGAAAATGTTGGAGGTAGAAAATTAGTTCATTTTTCACTCCAATCTACGTGGATTGAGAGGGACTAAGTAAGTCGACCAAACAATGCATTATTTATGTGGTGTTTTTGTTCGTTGCCCCAACAATTTTGGCAAGATGAAGTAGTCTACTTGATGTGGAAATTATTGGTTGTAGCCTGATAATAGTCCACTAATTGTCGTCTATAAAAGTCATGACACGGCTAATTAAGAGATATTAGAATCTACTGATGCATCAGGTTTAGCAAAACTTCCTTGCAGCTTACGCATGGAAGCATTGAATTGCATACCAATTCGGTGCCGTGCATGCATGGTTGTCCAATTAAAACGCCAATTAGTTATTCCATCACCTATCGTCCATTATCATCAAGGTAGTAATAAGAACCATTTGGTGGAGGCTCTACCCACTAACCAAACCATCGATCTAGTACTATATATCTGGCGCCAGAGAAAAGGACATAAATACATACCCCCTCTATATTGGTAATTCAAGTCGTTTTAGATAGCGACACGATCCACGAAGCATAACTTTGACATCTTATTTTTACAAAAAATATTTATTGGAAAGTGATATATGTATATTTTTATGAAAGTACTTTTCAAGACAAATATATTCATATGGTTTTCACATTTCCAAACTCAACAACTCAAAAGTTATTAATGATTTATATTCTCAATATTTGACCCAAGTAGACTTGTCCAAAACAACTTGAATTACCAGTATGGAGGGAGTATATGAAATAAAAAACGAAAGGTAAGTATTTTACAATCGGCTGCTTAAACAACATACGGTACATCGTCAAACCCACGCATGGAAGAAATAATCTCCCGTTATATTTATTATACGTCTAGTAAATAACCTTCACGTGTGTGCGTCGTGTGTAAAATATGTTTGACTAAAAACATAAAAAACTTAGGTTTCTGATGTTTTCATATGTAGGCACGCGCTCGTGCATTTTTTTTTTTAACCCTTGACGGAGGTAAATCCTGTTTTTATAAGAATAGACTCTTACGTACAACTGTTTCTTGTATGACAACGGAGAGGGTGGCAAATTAAAAAGGAACGGAGGACCGTGTCCCTCCTACTCTAAAGCTTATTAGGTAGGTCACAGGAGATACCAGTACACCATGACAGCAGCAAGGTACGTAAATAAATCTGAAAACAGCCGAGAATTGGATTCCGTCCACACAGCTACTAGCTAGACCGCTTCCAGGACGGAACCAGCCCAAGGGAAGGTGTTGTCGTGTTGAGAGTTTCTTTGTGCAAAAAGGATAGGGCGAGGTCAACTCAGCTCCTGGGATCAGGGCCAGGTCAGGTCAGAGGAAGCGGGGATTCAGGTCTGGTCAGGACTGGCTCCAGGTCAACGCCACGTCAGACAAAGCTAGCTGTAATTTGAGACTTGATCCATATGCTTGCTATTGGACTCTTCCGATCCGATTATATATATAAATAATAATAATAATATATAAATGTTCTCAAAGTCAAAGACGAGGTTGGGTTTGCCAGCAGACAGGCACTGTCTCTGCCTCTCTGCGGCTCTGCTGCGTGTAACTGTCTGGACGCAGGAAAGGAGGAGCAGCTAGCGACAGACCACACTGGCCAAAACAAGATGATAGGAATATCGATCGTGGGAAACCGGAAACTGGCGCCGAAAGTTCGTGTGCCGCCGGCCGCGTATAGGGATTAGATTAGAGTTTATACTCATGTTTGATGGAGAGGATCTCAATTTGACCAGGTTGCTTTTGTACGCTTTCAGATTCAGAAAGTTGGAGTAAGTTTCATTCATTGATTTCTGGGGCCGTCTCTCATCTGTCGTATTGTGTGGAGTATACTCAATCCTACAGGCGGCTACTACATGTTTGCTTGTTTATATTAACACTCTCCCTGTCAACACTCTCACTTTCATGATGTGTGCCTGCCTCTGTGCTGTGGCTGCCAGCTTATAGAAAAACCAAAACGACACTTAATTCAGAACAGAGTACTTTATTAACATTGTTACTTATAGCCAATGGACACACATATGTACCGTCCCAAAAAAGAATAAAAAGAATTCATTACTCATTTTCGAGTATTACAAATACGATAATGCTCTGGACCGGGCATCCGTTCGCTCGGACGCTCCGTTGCTGGGCCACGACGCCAGGCCAACAACCCACGCTCCTTCGTTTCTAAAAAAAACTGCTCATCTACTTATTCCTATCCACTCGTTCCTCTTCCTATAGCTCTTATCCTCTCGCCTGCTGAAAGGTCCTAATGGCTAGAGAGGGGTGAATAGCCTATTGAAAATTTCTACAACAACACTTAGCAAATATGTTAGACAATTAAACGGCGAAGTGAGTATTGCACTAGCATACTAAAAGAGCAAGCCACCTACCACAATTCTAGTGACTATGATCACTAAGCACACAAGTTGCTAAGTCATTACAATAAGTTAATGAGCTCTCAAAGACTAACTAAAGAGCCTCACTAACCACTAGACCCGATACAAGCTAGCTCTCAAAACTAATTACACTGAAGAGCTTAGCTACACTAAGAATGTAAGACAAGAGAGGTGATGATGTTTATACCATCGTGTCGAGGAGTGTGCCAATCACAAGATGGAGCCAATCAATCAATCACAAGACAACCAATGAAATCCTCGGACAATTATGAGACACGATTTTTTATCGACGTTCACTTGCTTGCCGGCAAGCTAGTCCTCGTTGTGTCGATTCACTAACTTGGAGGTTCACGCACTAATTGGCATCACACGCCAAACCCGCAAACGGATGCCGCACAACCAACATAAGATGAGGATCACACAAGCCACGAGCAATCCACTAGAGTTGTCTTTGGCGCTCCATTGGGGAAGGCACAAGAACCCCTCACAATCACAATGATTGAAGCCGGAGACAATTATCTTCCTCCGCTCGATGATCCACCAATCATCGGGCCGTCTAGGTGTTGGCAAACACCAAGAGTAACAAGATCTCCACCAGCCCAAATCATCCAACTAGTGCCACAAGAAGCTAGAACACTAAGCAATGCACTAGAAGCTCTCCAATCTCACTCAAGATGATGAAATCAAGTGTGCAAGTGAGTGGAGTGGTGTGTTCAGCTCTCAAAGGGTGTATACAAATCGTTAAAACTATGCAGGACGCAGGAAAGGAGGAGAGCAATAGCGATGCATGCACCACATCGCCAAAACAAGATGATAGGAATATCGATCGTGGGAAACAAAGAAGCTGGCGCCGAAGTTCGTAGTGTGCCGGCCGTCACAGCATATAGGGATTAGATTAGAGTTTATACTCATGTTTGATGGAGAGGATCTCAATTTGACCTGGTTGCTTTTATACGCTTTCAGATTGAGAAAGTTGGAGTAAGTTTCGTTCATTGATTTCTAGGGCCGCCTCTCTCATCGTCAGTATTGTGTGGAGTATACTCAATCCTACAGATGCTACTAGATGTTTGCTTGTTTATATTAACACTCTCCTGTCAACACTCTCACTTTCATGATGTGTGTGCCTCTGTCTTGTGGTGGTTGCTAGCTTATAGAAAAACCAAAACGACTCTTAATTCGTAGCGGAGTACTTTATTAACATTGTTACTTATAGCCAATGGACACACATATATGTACCGTCCCCAAAAAAGAATAAAAAGAATTCATTACTCATTTTTGAGTATTACAAATACGATAATGCTCGGACCGGGCATCCGTCGGCCGGACGCCTCCGTTCTTTGGGCCACGACGCTGTGCCAACAACCCACGCTCCTTCGTTTCTAAAAAAACTGCTCATCTACTTATTCCTATCCACTGTTCCTCTTCCTATAGCTCTTATCCTCTCTTTCTTTGAAAGGTCCTAATGGCTAGAGAGGGGTGAATAGCCTATTGAAAATTTCTACAACAACACTTAGCAAATATGTTAGACAATTAAACGGCGAAGTGAGTATTGCACTA